CATATTTAAAAACAGTCACCGTAGCACTAGAAAGGTGATGGCCATCATTCCAGCGCATATGATGCGTTCCAGTGCGGGAGAGTATGACAACGAGGCTGTGGCGGCTCAGGGCTCAAGATCTGATCAGATCGCTGGAAAGTCTGCGAGTCCTAGGACCCTGTGAGGTCACGTGCTTTTGCGCAACCTTCTGGTTGTGAGATCCTTACCAAAAGCTCCTGCATTGTTTGATCAGCTGGAGCTGGCGCTTCAATGTGCCGTTGCCACTAGTTCTTGTTTCCTTCTTCAAGTGCCTGAAGTCCGCGGTCAACAGTGCAGCATGACTGGCTTGAAATTGCTGACACTACAAGCTAAGATGGTGCCGGTCGATCAGAACTCCCAGATCTTGGCCCTGGGGTGTGCTTGCCGGTCGTGCCGCCCCGTGTTACGCTTACCGCATCTTAACGCCTTCAGAGTGTTCGAGGCCAAATGTGCCCCCAAATCCTGAAACAGGCCACACGGTCAAGCAAGAGTACAGTGAAGCCCAGAAAGTTGGAGCATGGATTTAGGATGATTAGTGCTAGGATCCTTTAAATTTACTTTAAGGGAATGAGGATGATAATGTTCCAAGTTTATGGTTTCTGCTATAGAGAGTGTAGAGGCAGTTGAAATTTTTAAGCATCAGTTGCAGTCTTTCCTGTGGCAGGTTTGGCCTACTTCTCGGCTGCGTCCTGTCCTCAGACCTGGCACTCAATGCTGAATCTGCACCTCAGACCGGAGGGCTACCTGGGGTGGGTACATCTTTGTGAACAACCTGATCGGTGTCTTGGCAGCGTATTTACACCAGCTCGTCTGGGCATCTTGCTGTTGCACAGGCTTGCACGCAGCAGTGCTTGTTGCGCTTGGCCAGTACAATTCGGGCTTGTACTTGGCAGCCGCCCCAGAGAGTCTCGGCCAAGATCGTATGAACGTATGAATCATGAACTACATGACAAGCTGCAGGCGTACACCCTATGGTATGCAGTCGGCACGACCGGTGCTATGTGTTGGGCTGAGCTGGTGGGACTTGTTCGTGGTGAACAGTCGACCGGGTCAGTGGCCCACAAGCACGGTGTGTCAACACAAGCTCAGATTTGCACCTGGGACGAACGACGACTTGTGTCATATCTGTTTTTCGGTCCCCGATGGGTCGCAAGAGGAGCACCTGTTGTCCTAGGTGGCATGGGTTCTGCCTGTAGGGCATGGTGACATGATGTCGTGCGATGTTCCCTTCGACAAGTACGTGTCGTGGGATGCATAATGGGAATGTTCACTGGCAATTCTAGATGCTTGCGCATGTTGCCGGGTGTTGCAGCATTGCCGGATGCCCCTTTGCATGGACATTCAGACGCGCCAAACTACCTGAGCCTACCAGCGGTTCTAACAGGTCTTCGTCCCTGTCGTATGATACCTGGATTTTTGCCGAACTTCAACTGTTGTCGGACGGTTTGTTGCAACGAACTTCGGTTTCCCAGCAAAGACCGTTCACACTGCTTGCTTCAATTGCTACATGCCACGTGAATGTATGATTCGATAGTCCACTTTACGAACAGTCCCCGGCAACAAACCTTCGCAAGTGCTCCCGTGTGCTTCCGTAAAGTCATCGGATCGAAGGTTTTGACTGCGACAACCCTGACTGCAACTAAAAAGGGCGGTGAAATTCTAAACGCATATTTAAGCCCTCGGCGGCCAAAAGCTTGAAGCAGTTTACCATCCGACACTTTTTACATTAAACCCGGCATCGTATGCCCTTCACCTCATACTTTGGAATGACGGCGTTTAACAGCCCAGGGGCACCGGCATTTTTGCGGAGTTTCAATGACCACACAAGCGTTGCTGAAGGCCTTGGCCTTGTTTCAGCACAAATTGTTCGGGCTATTCATGGTCAGTTTGTTCTGCTTCCTGGGCAGCCAGATTCAAACCTCTCGGTTCGCCAACCATTGCGAAAACAACGGGTCAGCCGCCCGACGGCGCTCTAGCTGGCTTAGGGCTCAGGGATGCTGACAGAACAAAGCGACTACTGGAGTAAAACCATGTAAAGTAGAACGTGGGGGGTTCGTCACTTAGGCTAGGAAATACATTTGCATGCGGTGTTGTTTTGGGGAGGGGGGCGGAATGCATCGGGGGATGTTGCCTTGCTGCTATTCTAGCTTCCTTCAAGAGACTGAAAATTTAGGAATTTAGGAAGGCGGGTAAACCTTCAAGACGTACGGATATCTGCACCCCGAAAGGTCACCTGAATCCGGGATGTTGCAAGGATTGGGCAAGTGGGACATTCCGGATAGCAGAAGGCCAGGCCAGATCTGAACATCTCTGACCCAGGGAGTCGTACCAACAGCACTCGCCCAGAAAAGCAATTGGGACACACGCGAAAGCAGGGCTTCCTCCTGAATCTGCGGAAAAGGCAAACCTCGAAGAATTCATGTACTCGATCGAGGCTTATCCCCGTCATTGGCTGGGCACCACTTCGGGCAATGGAGCAGCCTTTGCCTTGGATTGTTACAAGGGCTCTTCTATCGAGTCATGGTGATGCCGACGCCTGTCAGAATGCCATCTCTTCTGGTCTTCGTTGTGTTCCAACTGTCTCGCACTCAGCCAGGGCTCCCAAGAAGCGGATAAGTTTGCGCCCTCTCGCTGCACAAGCTGCATGAATTCAGAACCTGATGTGTGGAGACTTCCTTGGCCTGCCCTGGATGTGAGAGACTTCAATCCTCCAAGAAAACAGTGGGTGTGGAGGCAACGGTGCGACGAGCTATGCCTAACTGCTCCTGTGCCCCACCTCGAAAACAGATGTGTCCTACGGCCTAGAGATGTCCGGTACCCGGGGTTGGGGAGCAGGCGACGAAGCGCCAAGAGCCTCACAGAGTGTCCTGCAAGACTTGAGGCACTTCGAGTTTTGAGGAACTGCCAGGACTTTCGACTGTTCGTTACTGAGCTTGATCAGGGATGTTTGGATTAGGACGCAACGGCAACCGACCGCTCCAGCCGCTGGCTCGCAGCTTCGGTCGGTTGCCTTTGACTTGCTTTGCACTCCGTTCGTTCGTGTCGTCGTCGTCCGTCCGTTCGGGTGCCTGTCAGGTATTTAGGTTTCCGACAGCAGTGTGCGAGCCATGGCTTCTTCGTCTTCACCGAGTTCTGAGAGATCACGTTCTCCGTGCCGCCCGGCTTTGTCCGGCGGTACCGCAGGACCCGTCTCTGCATCTTGGGTGTCTGCTCCACTTCTCCGTCCGTCAGGACCGGAGCTGGTGGACAGTCC